AGCCGTCCGAGGGTTGTTTCAATATTAATTATATATCATATATGCATATATAGACATAAAAGTACTCCCATATTCATGCCTATTAGTTACGTCATTAGTAAGTTACCATCGGGGTAACATAGGATCATATAATACTACAATTTCTAGATCAATGAGTCAATTCATTCATGAGTCAATACTTATTACTATGAGTACATATACAATTATACTAGAAAGAGAACATATACAACTATACTAGAAAGAGAACATATGCAACTATACTAGGAAGAGAACATATACAACGATACTAGAACAAGTAACATTACATTACATATACATGAATATGTTAACAATTGTGATCCACTCTATCGGAGTATGCCTTAAATGTCATGGCCCGAGTTGTAGCCAGAATTATCTTGGAGGGAGAGCGTGAGTTTGCGTATAGATCTATACTGGATTGACTATCCTACACCTTGCTGCTAGCTACAGCCGGACCTGCAGGTCTGTGGGTGCCAAACGTCATTCCGTTTTACGAGTCGTTGTTACCAGTCAATAGTATGGTGCAATTAATCACATGATACCTTAATATAAATACGGTTTAAGGTAGTTAGTACAACAGTAGTTCCTATAATACAACACTACAGTACTACAATAATTTACCCATTACATATACTTAGTGATTATTTCACTTAAACATTAATGTACAAACTATATTTTGTTAATGATAGTTACACTTGGGAAATTACACACTTTCACAACAAACGAACATACAAAACAGTTAAGCCTTGGTAGAAGGCTACTTTAATAGAAAATATAGGTTTTTCTGAGAGATTCAAACGTTTACAAACACTTACAAACATTTACATACCTTTTACAAACTTACCCTTGAGACATGTTCAATCGTTTTGATAACAAACACCGACACTAAAATACTTATGAACTCACCAGCTTTATGCTGATAAACTCTTTCAAAATAACTTGTATTCTCAGGTCATCAGTAGACAGGTACCGAGGCCATCTTTTGAGAAGATGGAGCGCATCCAAGACTCATCTTATTATTTTGATTTACATTATTTTTGGTGTCTATAACTGTATAGAACACGCTTGTATTAAAATTATATATTTAATGCAATGGATGATGTTGTTTGCTTGTTTACTTTTACTGTGTTGTGATACTTTACATGACGTCCTCCGCCCTAGAACGTTTCCGCCATTCTCGGTTTTGAGGTGTGACACGGACTATGTTATTTTCGCTCATAAAGCTAATTAAAGTACAAAGTTTAAATAAAACTAAAGTTGGATTATTGGGTTACACCGTTTTGTGGTCTTCCTTACTTTGGTAGTCTTTGATATATGAAAGATAGCAGGATGGTTGTTTCAGTGTTAATGATTAGAGCCCATTATCGATGTAAAGTCTGATCGTAAAAAGAAAAAAAATATATAAAAAGAAAAAAAGAAGGTAAAAAAAAGCATGTTTCATTTTAGTTGTTCGTTTTTCATTTGCATATCGTTTTGGTTCATTGTTCATTTTCTTTATTTCTGCATGCATGTTTTATGTTTAGCTTTGGTAGTTTTCATTATTTAGGTTGTCGTTTTTCAAGTTGACATGTGTCTAGGTTATTCCTTTATTGCCCTTAACCTCAATTCCGTTTCCAAAGTTATCGTTTCCTTACTTGAGGGCAAGTAAGGTCTAAGCTTGGGGAGGTTTGTTAGATGCATTTTATATGCATCTTTTAGCACAATTTCCTACGTATTTAATTATAAAAAGTTAACTAAGTCCTAATTATTCTTATGTATTTCGTGTTTCATGATTATTTTGTAGAATGCCCGTACTGCTCACGTTTGTTATGACTTTTTGGGGCCATTTGGAGCACATGGATGATTGTGCAAGTTCGGGATGCGTTTGTGGATGCTTAGGAGCTTAATTGGAGTCTATACCAAGGAAGGATGCCGAGAAATGATCAAGAACTACCTGGAAGGAGGAATGACGATCAAAAGAGCTGAAAAAAGTAACATGCGATCGAACCTTATACACATGCGATTGCAGGTTGGGTCGCAGGTTGCCTTCGAGGTTTTGTCGAGCCAAAAAAATTCATCAGTTGAGGAAAAAAGAAACCTGCGATCACGGGTTGGTCAATTTGCGTCGAAATGGCAACATACTTCATTAAAAAGGCTCGCGACTCGTTTTGGGTGATACATGCGATCACATGTATACCCTTTGCGATCGCAGGTACAACGTTTTGGCACCTAGACGTATAAATGCAGCCCCATACTCTTCCAGTAACCCTAATTGGCGATTCCTAGCGATTCAGAGGTGATTTTTAGAGGTTTTCAAGTGAAGAACGCAGATCTAAAGGAGACGATTTGATTCCTATTCATAGTTTAGTTAGATTTATCATTTAGATTCTATTTCCACTGTTTGTAATCCGTTTTTAGCCATGTCAGACTAAAAACTCAGATTTCAGTTTCGCAAGACATAACCTTTTCGTATGATTAATCATTAGGCACTATGTTTGACTATGATTACTGTTTAGTTTGATCAATTCTGTGTTAAATTGAGTGTTTGATTTTGATTTCAATTTCCGTTGGCCACTGTTAAGCGTGTCAAAGCCAACAAATAAAGGGGTAAAATAACTCCTTAAACACTACTACTTTGTACTAGAAATGTAATACAAGGTAAGTAGGGTCGATCCACAGAGACACGGAACAAATGTTTATACCTTTTTGCGGAAGGTACAATAATGGTCACATAAATGGGGGGTTGGTATGCAATGATTTAAACAAGAGGATAAGCAAGAAGTAAATGATCAATTAAATGAAACAAATTCAGGATTTGTGAGAACTCCAACTCTATGCAAGACAAATTAGCAATGTGATTCCATGGATGACAAGATATTTGTTTAATTCTATCTAAGTTGGTACTTGAAAGTGTTAACAAGCTCTAACACTTCCCATTCACCACAATAATTAACCAAAACAAGCTCTTTGATTAATCCTAACCTTACCAATCTAATATAAACAAGCTCTTAGAATTAGGTTGAAAGATTGCATTAAACCTTATGTGAATGTTCCCAACAATACTCAATACTCCTCATAAGCTCGGAAGCATAAGAATGTGTGAATAGATTTACACTAATTTCATTCAATAGAAATCAGATTAGTGCTTGTTACCTAGTCCAATTTACAAAACAATTACGGATTTTGCAATTAGATAACTTGAATGATCTAACCCTAATTCAAATGGCCAATAAGAATCACAATTAGAATCAAACATTCGATTGAGACAAAATCAAATTCACTAGATAGAAAATTGAAAGCAAACATCAAGTCATATGATTGAAATCACATCCAAATGTCAAGACATAAAGTTGGAGAATTTAGGGTTCTAGCCACTCATGGCTAGAACAAGATCACAAATCTAGAAAATGAAATTAAAGTTCTTACAAAATGAAATCAAATGTTCCCAAGTGTTAATCAACTTCAAAATCCTCAAGAAATTCGCCTTCTCTACTCCAAAAGTCGACCCCCCAAAGTAAAAAGTCGGTTCCCCCCTTTAAGAATGGTGAAAAACTGCTTTAAAACCCACGTTTACGTTTACACGGCCCGCGTAAATTAACACTATCATTTACACGGCCCGCGTAAACGCAAAAATATACTGTGCAGAAATCTACATTTACACGGCCCGCGTAAACGCAAGGCTTCCATTTACACGGCCGTGTAAACGTCTGTAAAGCCAAAATCCTCATTTCTTTGATATCTTGCTCCTCGGTGCTCCGCAAGTCCTGAAATTTTGTCCGCAACTTTTATTTACCTCCTCCAACAAGATCCTACCTCCAAAAGTCCCTGAAATATCACAAAAGTATTTGAATGAAATTGCCTCATGAAAAATCCCGAAAAACATGCAAAATGCATGAGTTTAAACCTAAATGCAATGCACTTTTATGGATTAAAACTACAAAATGGGTACATGAAATGCACCTAACAACCACTTAAATAGTTTGTGAATCATTCTAGTCATCTAATTCTCTAGATTCGTAATTGTCTAGATTAATTAGTAAAAAGTGACATATATTAGATTAATTATGCATTTAGGGTTAACTCTAATATGAAATAATCAAACAAGTTTTAATGTCTCCGAGCTTATGAGAGGTATTGAACTTTACTGGGAATTACATTGTGTCTAATGCAACTTTTCTTTGTTAGTCAAGAGCTTCTTTGATTAATTTAGTAAAAAGTTAGATTTAATTCAAATAACTTATGTTGATTAAATGATTTTGTAATAGAGGTCATTAGAGCTTGTTAATGAACCTTAGTACCAGTTTTAACAAGTGCATAGTCAAATATTGTGTTGAAGGTTAATTACACGATTAAGGGAGTTACTGCGAAACTGAAATTGCTTTCTCTTAATTGAATTTTCATCACTTTAAATTTAGTCATTTTCTTTTCATTTCAATATTAGTTTAATTTTCAGAAATAAAACCCCCCTTTTTATGTTTATTGTATTCATCAAGAATTAGTTCATACCTTACGCAAAAAGGTGTAAACGTTAGGATGTGTCCCTGAGGATCCGATCCTGCTTACTTGTACTACATATTAATGCAATAAAGCAGTTTATTTTATATTTTTATTTGTGTAAATCGTGTACGATAACGGTCTTAACAAACTCACTAAACTTTGTGCTTATTATTTGTGGTTTACATGTTTCATGTTTTCTTATATTAAAGGAAGGGCACGACTCGATTGCATCACATCAATGGGGGACTTGTGTACTTGATAAGTTTTAATGATACTATGATAAATTTTGTAAGATCATGAAATTGTGAATTTTGTAATCCCATATATATATATATATATATATATATATATATATATATATATATATATATATATATATATATATATATATATATATATATATATGCTGGGTTGTTGGTTTAAAATGCAAAAAATTATATATTAAAGCTTCAAAATTAGTTATTTTAACGAATAACACTTAATTTACCAAGTCTTTCAATCGGAGAAAGACCATGACTGACGTGGCTTGCAAATTTTCATTACGTGGCCTGTCAAAGACCTCCATGTGGAGGCTCAAATGAAACTCGATGGTGACGCTCAAGTCTAGGGTTCACTTTGATCATAATTAAAGCCCTAAATTACCAATTGATCAAAAATTCCGAAATCTACTCAAATTGCGGAGAAAATCGCGGGCTTTTGAATTCAGAATTCGGATTCTGCTATACCACCACCATCTCAAATAGTTGATTCGTCTTGCAACCATGACTGAGGTACCATCTTATTTCTGTTATGAACGTAGTATAATCGTGTCTGATTAGCACATAGCTTAATTTACCCAATCATTATCCTTTTCGTTAAAATTCATCGTGCTAATCACATTCTCATCGCCGTTGCTAATGAATAATGATAAAACAAAGAACCAAGCAAACGAAGAAAAGAAAACAATTCATGTTAAATAACTAGTGGCATTTGCTCATGGAATCCTGTTTGCAAGTTGGAATGGACTAAATTGCAATGAATGTTCCAAACCACAACTTGATGGGCGAGAATGTTGTATACATATTGAAGAAGATACGTTGGATTAAACTAAAGTGGAAAGGAATGACTTCTTAATTGGATGTTGCTGGTTTACATTTGTTAATTTATACTCCTTTGATCCTTTTATACATTTGATTTATGTAGAAGTTCTAATAGTGTATACTTGCTCTATGATTCTATCTTACACATTATGTTGTGGTTTAAACTTTGAACATATAAAGTTTATATCTTTTATTATCTCACTGACATCTCATTTCTTTGTATTATGGTTGTGGGTTGGCCAGAGAAAAAAAAGGTGTGATGTGTGCAACATCTTCATATCCAACAATGCTCCCATCATCAAGATACATGAGCAAAGCCTACGCCACAGAGAAAATGTTAAGAAGCTGTCTAACATGACAGAAAAGAAAGATGCTAAAGATAAAGAAAAAAAGAAAACTACCCGTGCTCTCAAACAAATTGAAGAGGTGAATATTTTATTTTCATGAGGAGAGTAATTATTTCTCAATATCAACTCTTGTCTCCCTAGAATCCCTTATATTGTTTTTCTGAATTATCCTTAAAACAAGCTCCTTTCCAAATTGGTGGCAGAAAGCGAGTCATAGTTATCAAAATGACATATCAACCTTAAAGGCCAGAGATTCTGATGCAACTTCATTAGATGCTCAAACAAGTAGTGAAGGGATAGGTGATCAATTTACAATGTATGGAGGTTAGTACGTGTGTCTCCTAGGTTTTTTTGGGTACCTTCATCTATCTTTAGTATATTCTGCATTGTTTTTCTATCATGATTGTCTTCTCATAAAAATTATGTATCTTCTTATCGATGACAGAATGGGAGTACGACACCTCAGCAGGTTATTTCTACAACCAAACTAACGGTTGTTATTATGATCCAAAATCGGGTTTCTTCTACACAAATGCTTTAGGTACTAACTACAAAACCCTAAACACCCCTTTTCTTCAACCTCCTTCATTCTGATTGACTGCAACAGGTAAGTGGGCAACACTGAAAGAGGTTCTTGCTGCTGCAACAAAACTTTCTTCACAAAAGAAACCAAATCTTGTCACATCCAAATCTCCTTTCCAAAATGGTCAACATGAGAAAGATAATGTCACCAAGTCAAAGAAGCCATCTAACATGGTAGAAAAGAAATTTTCTAAAAAGAAAACATCCCGTGTTCTCACACTCGCACAAATTGAAGAGGTGAATATTTTATTAGTAATTATTCTCTATAATATCAAATCTTATCTCCCTTCTTATATTACTTTTTTGGATTATTCTTAAAACAAGCTCCTTTCCATATTGGTGGCAGAAAGAGAGTAATGCAACTTCATTAGCTGCTCAAACAAGCAGTGAAGGGATAGGTGATTGTGGTCATCATCTCTCTACAATGTTTGGAGGTTAGTGCTCTACTTACTTATGTACTTGCAACTTTTCTTATTTTAAATAAAAAATTTTAACATTTTTTCCATAACTTGATCATCCTTGTAATCAATCGCTTGTTAGATATCTTGAAAACTACTTATATATATATATATATATATATATATATATATATATATATATATATATATATATATATTCTAAACTTATCTTGTTGTATGTCTTGTAGAAAAAACGTGTTACCCGATAGACTTGATGCCAATGCTAGATGGTCATGGTATGCTTGGTTATTAAACATTTGCACACTTACACACGTATTAAATTAGTTTTTTTTTTTTTATGACTACAAACGACATAGGTATTAAAATTATAGTGAGAGATAACAAGATAATAACAACCAATGAGGATGAACCTTTATTCTGCATTGCTTTTTATTTATTTATTTATTATGATTGTGTTGTCATAAGAATGATACATACAGATTTTAATGATTGATGACAGATTGGGTGCGTGACACCTCATCCGGTTATTACTACAACCAAACTAACGCTTGTTATTATGATCCAAACTCCGGCCTCTACTACCCTCATGATTTAGGTACTACAACAATCACAAACCCTAATTCTATAAATCTAAAATCTCTCTCTCCCACTTTTATGATTTTATCAACTTCCATTTTTTATATTCATTCTGATTTTTGATCGAGTGATTGCAACAGGTAAGTGGGTAACACTGAAAGAAGCTCTGGCTGCTACACCCAAACTGGCTTCCAAAAGTCAACCTCAACCCTCATCATCTGTAGATATAAAGAAGAGAAAACAACCAGATTCCAAGCCAAAACTGGTGTCTCAAGGGGAAGAGGCTGCAGTCAAAGCAAGGGAGGTAGAAAGGAAGAGAGTAGAGGAGAGGGAGAAATTTTGTAAACTCCCAATTAGATTCACTTATGCAAGGAAGAAGAGGAAAGACTGACTGATCTCAATGTAATATATTTGGTCAACAGGGGTAATATTGTCTATTACATACTTTTATAGTTAGGTTGGTGCTAATATGTTGGTATAAGTAGTTAGTTGGCATCTTTTCACAAAATCAGTTAGAGTTGAAGGGCGTGTTTGGTACGGAGCTTTTCAAAGCGTTTAAGAGCTTCTAGCGTTTGACAAAACGCTCTGTTTTAAACAGAAAACCTTGTTTGGCACTACAAACTTCTAGCGTTTAAATTAAACAAAATGCTCCAAATCCAAATGCTACTTCATGTAGCTTTTAACAAAACGCTACCAGCTAGAAGCTACTCGCTTCCAGCTACAAGCTATCTGCTACCGGATATTTTTGCCAAACACGTCCGAAATCTGGGAAGTACTGGCTCAGATTTTTGTGTGTAGTCATTCCATTTCCAGTTCAACTTTCGATTCAAGTCATATCTATCTATTCTTAATGCTACTGTATACAAAATATTCACTCTGGTCTTTATAACTTATAAGCAGTGATCTATTTTTTTTTTTATTGTGTAATGTTATGTCATGTCATATTCTGTTTGAAAAACTATATATTTTCTAAGTTCCACAATCATGTTTTTTATTTATTTAATTTAATTTGATAATAATGAGATCATAAATAGAATGTCTAACCTGAATGTTGCGATTATAATTGATGATATGAATTATGTTATTCAGAAATATAATTTTCAACATAGGAAAGCTTTGAGAGTACTCAAGTTTTACACAAAATAACTCTGATTTATTTTATAAGTAGAACAAGCCTTATATAGGTACATATTTTACAAACGACAATTTTAAACTAACTGTTAGTGACTATATTTGACACATCTAACTAGACTTCTCTATCATGAACTTATTATTAGCCAGCATTTCTTATAATGAACGTATTATTGCTAGTATAGTTTACTCATATCACAATTATAGGGGGTTGGTGGTGGTTTGTTGTTGATGGTGACAATGGGTCAACCTGAGTCGATTCAATCCATTTATTAAATGAGTTTAAGATCCGAATTCAATCCAATTTGTTTATTTAAATGGGTTAAAATTTCCAAATCGACACAACTTGTTAGATAAATATGTTGTCATCACGTTAATATGTTTATATATTTTGATATTTCCAACCTAGCGTATTTAATAAATGGGTTGAACCTAGGTTGACACAATTAAAATTAAAAATGCAAATAGATTAAAAGAAGAGTACACCTACTTAAAGAACTTAACTTGGAAAAATTTTAAATGAGTTGTTTGGTTAAAACCCTCTAATTTGCATTGGTTTGGGTTGGGTTGAGTCACTTTTCCCCAACTCTAATCCATTGTTGGCTTTATAAGACTATTTTGGTAACATAAATCGGCCACACATCAATTATTTTAAGTGGGTGTTTGGAATTGCTTATTTGAAGTGTTTATTGATTATTACGTTTTGACACTTGTATTAAGGAGTTTTTAAGTATTAGTAAAGGAAGATTCCACAAGCATTATTGATTTAAATAAAAGTTTGATATGTTACTTCCTCATTACTTATTCACTTATTTAAGGAGTTTTCGATAAGTTATTTTCTTATTACATGTATAAAAGCAAATTGCCGAACACTAAAAATAGTTTATCAATTATTACGTTTTTGTATCGGATAAGTTAATCTAAACACTTTTTTAAACCCTGTTTTGATACCAGATATGTTAACAAACACTTCTATTTAAAACGCATAAGTTGTTTTAAATAAGCAATCCCAAACACCCCCTAAATCATTTCGGACCCATACGATCCATTCCATATCCTAACAAATAGCTTATTATTTTATATCAAGAGTAAAATGCATTTTTGGTCCTTGTGGTTTGTAAAAAACTGTTGATGGATGCAAAACCTTTTCAACTTGCACCATTAGTCCAAAACATAAACTTTTTTGTGATTTTGGTGATTCAATCCTATGTTCAAGCGGAGGTGGACCCGTGCTGCAGGAGGTCCGATGGTAGAGTGAAATCGGTGCAGGGAGAACGAGGATTGTTCTCTGGAAGAAGAAGGGGGAAGAAAAACGAGGTGGACGTTCTATCTTTTGTTTAGGGCAAAGGGTATCACATGAATATATTTCACCCATACTATTTATTGTATCTGACCAAATAAGACCATTTTTTCTTATGTCTGATTAAAGAGGCTAAAATAACTTCAACCAAAAGCTTTGAATTTGAATGATCCAGAGCCAACCTATTTATAAAGCTCTAAGTTCTAGATTTACCGTATTAAGTTATGCATTTTGTATTAAACTATGAATATGTATTAGTTGAAACAAAAAGAAATGACGTTTTTGTCATCTTTCACTAAAAAAAAAGAAATTTTAATAATTCATCATATGCATCTATTTTTTTTTCAAATGAAAGGATATGATATGTGGGTTGCAATTTCCAAGAATGATAAAATCCCCCTTAATGATAAAGTGAAAAAAACAATGGTTCCTAAAATTCCTAACCTTTAAAAGTTTATATTTAAACGGCTCCTTATATATGCAAAATTTTTGACTATTAGTGGTCAAATAGTTTTAAAGAAATTTATCTACCATTGATAGAGGAGAAAAAAAATGAAAGAAAGTGCAATGAATAAACATTGCAAGATGACACTCTTCACCCAAAGATGTAGTGTTCCTTATGCGGTGAAAGTGTCATATCACCTAGGGGTGATCAAACCTAGGGTTGTCAAATCGGGCAGTCGTGTCGTGTTTTTGTTTGACACGACACGACACAACAATGTTTTGTATAACACGAATACGACACGACACGATATCGTGTTTTTTTCATTAACACGAAAACGAACCAATTAAAACACGACAACACGACACGACACGACAAAGATAATATTACATAACTATTAGTGTATTTCGTTCATACTTACAGATATATAACACGACAAAAACGACAAACACGAAAAACACGACAACCACATGCTTAATCGTGTCAATTTATGAACACGAACACGACACGACACGACATCGTGTTTTTTAATCTTGATACGAAAACGACACGAACACGAATTCGAATTTTGATTTCGTCCCGATTTCGTTTCGTTTCGTGTATTTTTGTCGTGTCGTGTCATAAATTGACACCCCTAATCAAACCCAAACCGAGAAACCGACTAAAACCGATGAAACTGAAACCGAAAAAACCGGAACTGAAGCAAAACCGACGGTTAGGGTTTAAATTTTTTAAAAACCGAAAAATTGGGTTCGATTTTGGTTTTTACCTAGAAACCGACTCATCCAATCCGAGAAACCGAACCATACTTAAAACCGACAAACCACCCCAAGAAACTGACCCATCCAACCCGAGAAACCGACCCATACTTGATTGTGTTTTGGTTGTAATAGATTATTTCGGGCTTTGGTTGTAACATGTAATAGACTATTTATTGTAAGACTCATGTTTTTTTTGAAGTATTTAACTTAAATTTGGTGTTTTTTAAAGTATTTAAATTGTTGCTTCATTTATGGAAAATGAGTTAAAACGCAAAACCTGTGGGTTTAAACCCATAACCCGTGAGTGTATGGGTTGAACCCAAGAAACCGAAAAACCGCCAAAACCAATTTCAAAACCCGAGAAACCGAATCGACCAAAAACCGATCATTTATGGGTTGGGTTGGGTTTGAGTCCAAAACCGACCCATACACAACCCTAATATCACCCCACCGCACCATGCAATATGGGTACTCCCTCAAACCTAAGCCAACAAAGCACTCGTGTAAAACATTTTTGACTTCGACTAAATAAGTGTATTTCCAACACAAAAAGTTTATTTCGTAAAGAAAAGAAGGTAGGCATGAGTAAAAGCGGCAACAAGAAGATAGAGGGTAAAATATGGCAATGTTCCATTTTGTAGGGGGTTAACAGGAGGTTTTCTTTATAGAAAACGGAAGAGCAAATTCTAGGGTTCAATTTGGATCATAATTTAAAGCCCTAAATTATCACTCTCCTGATCAAAAATTTCAAAATCTTCGCAAATTGCGGAAAAAATCGTGGGGCTTTTGTATTCACAAATTGGATTCTGCTATACCAACATCTCCAGTAGCTGATTCGTCTTGCAACAATGACTGAGGTACCATCTTATCTCCCGACACTGATTCTAACGGATTCTACCAAAGCAATTTTAATTGATCGAGGGTCTTATATTATTTTTTGATATGAACATAGTATAATCGTTTCTGATTAGTATATGCCTTGATTCTACGCAATCATAATCCTTTTCGTGGACATTGTCGTTGCTAATGATAAGATAAATTACCAAGCAACTGAAGAAAAGAAAACAGTTCATGTTAGATAAATGGAGTAAACTGCAATGAATGTTCCAAACCTCAAATCGATGGGAGAGAAGTTTGGATCTATATTGAAGAAGATATATTTCATATTTTCATTAAACTAAACTGGAATGGATTCATGGAATGAGTTGTTGAGTTCTTAATGAGAGTTTTTGGGTCTCTTAAAATACTTTATCATTGGCTATGGTCTTTATACAGTCTGTTTAATGTAGAAGCTTCAATAGTGTATATTCTTTATTGTTGGATTTCTTTTTTGCTGTGTTCATACCTTGAACATATGAAGTAAAATATCACTGACATCTGATTTGTTTGTATTTCAGTATTGGGTTAGTCAGGGAAAAAAATGGTGTGACTTGTGCAAAATCTTCATATCCAATAATCCTTCGAGCATCAAGAATCATGAGCTTGGCACACGACACAAAGATAATGTCACCAAGAGGTTGTCTAACATGAGAGAAGAGAAAGTTGCTAAAGATAAAGAAAAAAAGGAAACTGCCCGTGTTCTCACCAAAATTGAAGAGGTGAATATTAATCATATATATTTTCATGAGACGAATAGTTATTCTTATTCAATTTCCTCAAATACTATTTCCCTTCTTATATTATTCTTAAAATAAATTGATGACAGAAAGCAAGTCTTAGTTATCAAAAGGACATATCAACTTTTCAGAAGGCCAGAGATACCAATGCAAATTCATTAGGTGGTAGTGGAGGGATAGCTGATGGCTCTACAATGTCTGGAGGTTAATAATATTCATGTACCATTGTGTTTACCCATATATAATATTTCCATGAAATGAACTTTCTTTTATTATAATCTAAATAATATTCTACGCTGTTTTATTTATTATAATATAATTATTGTCTTGTCATAAAAATGAATGATACAAGTTTTAATTGATGACAGAGTGGGAGCATGACACCTCATCCGGTTATTACTACAACCAAACTAACGCTTGTTATTACGATCCAAACTCTGGCTTCTACTACACTGATGCTTTAGGTACACCCACAATCACAAACCCTAAATCTAAATCCTTATTATTATTTTTTTTATCAACTTCTGTTTTTTATATTCATTCTGATTTTTGATCGAGTGATTAAAACAGGTAAGTGGGTAACACTGCAAGAAGCTCTTGCTGCTACAACCAAACTTTCTTCCGAACCTATACAAAAGAAACCGAATTTTGCCACGTCATCGTCATCATCATCATCCTTGCCTTCGAAAACTCAACCCCCAACACAATCTGCTAACAGGCCATCATCTCTTTACATAAACAAAAGAAAACGACCAGATTATTCCAAGCCAAAAGTTGTGTCCCAAGAGGAAGCCGCTGCACTCAAGGCACGCGAGGCAGCAAGAAAGAGAGTCCAGGAGCGAGAGAAATCCTCACTCGGTCTTTATAAGCACTGACTGTATTATTCTGTCATGTCCTGTCCTGTATCCTGTTGAGACTGATAGATAAACCGGGTATTTTTTTCTTTTTTTGAAGTCATACAACATTATCTTTTGATTTTTTTTTAAAACTTTAATTTGATAAGGTGACCATAAATAACTAAAATTATATGTTGTAAGTTTTGGCAAAAAGGTAGGGGGGGCCTGGTGTTGGTGGTTCGTCGGTGATGGTGACAATGGAGTCTACTTGGTTGACTTTAGATGACCAATTTTGGTCACATAAATCGGCCATTTTAATTCCCCTACGGACCCCCCTTCTATCCTTACACGGTTCCCGACAAATGGTTTTATATTTTATAGTATTACATTTGGTCTGATGTGGTTATATTTTATTAAAAACATGATAACTTGAATATGTCAATTGAGACAAATTTAAAAAAAGGAAAAAAAGATGGAAAAAGTTTTTTAGTTAAATTGAATTATTAGTGTTGATGGGAATGAAGCATTATTGGAGATGCTTTGCTAAAGAAAAAGGTAGTGGGGGGAAAATAACACGAGTGAAAAAAGCAATCGACTTGTAATAAAGGACGATATAAGATCTCATATTTTTGTAGGATATGCATAAAAAGCTATGGACATGGAAGGGCGGTTTTGTAGCACTTTCTCTTATTGATTAAATAATTTCATGGGCCCACCGACTATTATATTTTTTAATAAATTGACAAGGATCTTGATAAAATACAAGAATAGGCTAGCTTCTTTTCCAAATTGCTACATTGACGGTGTAATTATATATCAAGACTCGAGTATACGGATTCATTAGGAGAAGGAGAAGTGTTTCATATTAACCAAATTTTCACCATACATCATAAGTTTATATTTTATGAAACTGTATATTTTAAACCACAAATTGTTATGTTATGTATGAAAGAAATTGATGTGTACAAGTCAACAAAATGTGACACTTAGAAAAATGAAGTCATTGTCTTCATTGATGGTGATGGTCAAAGGACGAGTGATAATAGCCAAAGAATCATAATCTAAGTGGAGTAAATAAGTTGCGTTAAATATAATGAGGTTCATCATTGATGGAGGGTCTATAATCTACATACCAATAAAACAAAGAATCAAGGTAAATAATGGAAAATAAACATATCTTTACTTACAACTTGTATAGGATTTTCATATTTATGAATTAGCCAATAAACACTACTAAAAAATTATGGTATCGGATTTCATCCCCTTGATGATTATGTTAAGATTACCTGAATTTTCAAACTTAATATATTTCTAGTTGTAATAAAATTCTTTACTTTATACATAATGCCAAGGACATGGAGGATGGTTTTGTAGCACTTCCACATTCAACATTCAACATGTATACATTTATTTAACTAAATAATTTCATGGTCCCATTCCCATCAAAGTTTCTTGTGTGTTTGGACATGGAATAAACATTGACTACAAAGTCAAATGAAAAAAACAAAGCAAAGTTAGTGGGTTGTTTGTAAATTCTATACTTCGATGTCGTGTTTACATTGTGAATTTATTGGGTTTTTCTCCTAAGTTTGAACACAAGCACAATTTAATAAAATAACGATAAAAACCCAATAATGTTTTTAATCAACGCATTTTACGTTGTTCTTCCACACAATTTTTTTAGATGAATAAGTAAAACGAACACAAAAACCATATGTATGTACTCGTTTATTTTACACATTTTCATGGACGGATTTTAAATCCAACGATCATAAATTACACATTGTACGGACATAAAACATTCAACAAGATCCACATTACATAATGTAAAATTTAAAAACACATTCTGTGAATATGATGATCAAAAAATCAGATTAAAATTGATCTGATGAATTCTTCCGGTGTGATCATGAAATTCAGTGCTTCATAAGAGAATCGATCCCTCGGGAGATCTCATGAACACTTCCTGCATTTTGATGGAACCTTAAGCAACCCATTAATCCTGATTTGTACGGCAAGGTGGTCTTCCTCCCCATCTCCTCCTGATCCGCCGCCGTTTCATCCGCCGACACCTTCACTGAACCACCACTATCAGTGCTTCTGAAGCTAAACGTCGTCTTGACGTCACGATCACTCTTCTTTAACATCGTGTATTTCTTCAATGGATCCTTCCTCGTTGACACGCTTCCCTCCGACGCACTTCTGAACAGTAGCAGATTCTTGAGGTTCCACTTGTTGTACCAAGTTAAACCCGTCGGTGATGATTGACCCGTTGTTGAGTTTTTCTGGTTGTTTAGAACATCAGAGACTCTAAATGGTGACAGAGATCGAGATGCTTTGCGTCTGGTGGATTTCGTCGTTTGTTCTCGCCCGCGTTCCAGTGGATTTTCCTCGGGGTTAGTCTGCTCACCAGATGTTTGTTTTAATGCCTCTGAAAAAGGATCGAAATCCTTAATCTTACTCCGTGGAGACAACGCTTCTTTGAACCGTAATTTAGGGGATTTGGGCGATCGGGGTGAATGTGAATCATTAGAGAAATGCAGACGCGGCGGTGGTTTTAATGGCTTGATCTTGCCGCCATCAAAGAGCTCGTCGGCGGCGGAGATAGAATGCCGTTCCAAATGGCCGAATGCAAAATCCGAATCGTTTTCTACATCTTCTTCTTCACAATTATCATCGTTATTTTGTTTGCGAATCCCTGGTTTTTCTTCCCATGTGAAAGGGATGGTGGACTGAGGGCTTGAAGGTGCGGTGACGTATGGAGAAGTGGAGGTGCTGTCGTAGTTGAAGTCGATCGCCGGCGACGGATTTATCAGTTGTACTTCCATGTAATGTAAGGAGATGGAGATGGATGATTAGGTTTCTACATTTAACAAGTGAATATGTAGAAGAATTGCAGAAAGTGGGTAGGAAGGAGAGGACCCCAGCTTTTGACTGCAAGCCAAGCCGAATCGCGCCAAACGAAATACATGCACTCTTTAGAAATTGTGAAGTTCTAGTTTATTTATTTATATTTTTAATATAGAGAAAATTATAAAAATGGTTTTTATTAGTTTAGAATTTTGTTTTTATATCAGTGGTCCAAAATTATATCTTTTTGGTGTTGGTCTCTGCAAGACGTGAAATAACTTTATATTTTTATAATTTGTTTTTTTTTTTTCAAAATTTTTAAATTAATTTAGTCCTTAATTTTTTTTTTTTTTTTTTTTTTTTTGATTTGCCTATTTAACAAATTAATTTAGTAATTTTCCGGGTTTATTATTTTTTAAGAAAAGCCTAAAGTTTTGTTATTTCGGAAAAACCCTTCAACTTTTTTTTTTTTTTTTATATAGAAAATCATTCACATTTGGCAAATTTTTTCCTTTGAACCAATTTTTTTTTTTTTTTTTTTTTTGATTCATAATTATCATATTTTTCTTATTGGTGCTTCATAAGCACATAATCATCGAGGTAGTTTGTGACCAGAAAGTAGCTTCAATCTCAATATGTTTAATTTATGAAACGAATCGGTTAGTGTATCTCGGATCAAAACCCTAATATACAATCCTAATGATAAAGTCAGTATGTGTAGGAGTGAATCATCAAGAACCAAAAAAGAATTTTAAAAATATTAAGAGCATAACATTTATGTATCAGTTGTTTTTAAACATGAAATCGAAATCTATGTACATGAGTTATTTTCAACGACCAACCAGTTCTAAGGTTTAATTTATTTTACTTCGGACACACTATTAAATATAAATTTGGTTCAATCTGACAATCGAAGATTTATAGCGAACTTCGGGTTAATAAAGCTCCAAACAAAACAAACCAACCAACCAAAACCAAATCTATAAATACATTTTAATGCTTTTAAGTTTGTAGTAAAGTCTAAATACTTTTATATTTAATTATAAAATATGTAATTTTTAATGCTTTTAAGTTTGTTACCTTTACGTCTTTCGGTAAAACTTTTTGGCTTCGCTATTAGCTGTATGTACAATTGAATTTGATTGGACTAGTTTAGATTATTTAAAAGTCTTGAGAGCTTGAATCTTATGTTTATGTATTGTCGAATAAATTGCTAAAGTACGTACATCCAATTACATATCTTAAAACATGGTTTTTCAAAATTTTGATATAAAGAATAAAAACGTTAATGTATATGTGACTTTTGAGTTCTATAATTGGATTAAATTCGGTGTTACTAGGATTGAAGAAGCAAGATCCATAAGACATGGTTTACAAGAAAGGCTTTTAGTGCTTTACAAATTGGCTTTACACCTTTACTTATGAATGTACTCATTGCTCTTTCTCATTATGGCTCTTGCTCATGCTTCCAATCACCTTTTTCTTTATTTATTTATCTTATTATAACCACAATTTCATATAAGTGGTCCATCAAGTTAATAACCACTAAAATAAACAATGTTGTAATTTAGTTACTCCTTTTCAATGTAAAAGAAAACAAAAACGATCCATTTTTATTCGAACAAAACAAACTAAGTTCAACAAGACATCAACAAAGAAAAACCCATCGAATTCAAGACACTGATGCAAAACTACAAGCATGATTACTTGGAACCCGGTAACTTTCCATGCAAAAAGGATGAGAAAAGTGCGATTGCTCGAGCAGGTTGGTAACTTGGCACAAAGTGTCCGGCTCCTCTAACTGTCACAAATGTCAAGTTTTCATATCCAACCACGTATCCACCAACCTAATTAATCACAACCAAAAACAATAAAAGATAAAATCAGTAAATTAATTACACATTATGTTAGTACTATTTTAAATTGTAATTGTTAGTTTCTGACCTCTCCTTTCAAATACCATGGTCGCCATGGTGTCTTCACTGTTGTATTAAGTTTCTTTATTGCGTACATTGTTGTTGTCACTGGCACAGAACTATCAATATCTCCACTGCAATTTTATAAATGATCATATGTATACGAAAAGTCTAGGTATATATGTGTAGGGGTGGTTTATAAATGGATATTTTGGAAAATATTTGTAATTCTTGAAAATATTTTTGGGCATATGATGACTACCTGTAAAGCCAAACACGAATGCCGCTAGCCATGAGCCTTCGAATGGTTGGCAAAACAGTAAATGGTTGGTCTTTCCAATTGTCAAATAATTCGTCGCTACATACATAAAATAATTGTTATCCCTCTTTGATCTAAATTAAAACACATTATTAATTATACAAGATTAGAGAAAGCATGCTTACTTGCAATCTTGCCACCTTCCGGGAAGCCCCGTGAGGTTTGCATGAAGTGATTTTTGAACTTCGGGCAAGTTTAAGTAACTTTCGATATATTCTAGAGAGCACGGATCAAATCCTGATTTCTGATTGAGAAAAAACACAAATAATTGACTCATGTTATAGGATAATATATAACATAAGATTTGATTTGACTGGTTAAAAAGAAAAAAGAGTGTATAAAGTTACCTCTGAAGAAGTTCTATTTAAACACAAGGGAGCATAGATATCGTACGGATAAATGTTTCCAACAAGGTCATACTCTTGATTAATGTAGTTTTTACAAACTTTAGATAAAGTAGCATTCCACGAAAAATCACAATTCGTGACTATTCCTTGATGGATTTCGTCAGAAGTAATAGAACGCGACCAAAAAAAATCATGTGTTCCCGTTTGTTGAGTTTCGTCATCCATGTATGAATTTCCAATCTTTAACATTATAAAATCCAACACCATTAATAAAACTTGCAAAAAAGAGAAATACAAAAAAGTTATTGTTTTTTTAATACCATTGTGTGATCAAGCTTACCACAATTCCTTTGAGGTTGATAACAGTACGATTAGCTTTCTTGTTGCTTTTAATGATGAAATCGGCAAGTTGAGGTATGTAATGACCGGCGTAACTTTCTCCGGTGAGGTAGAAATCTCTGGTTTTGTATTCGGGGAACCTTTCTAGCCAATTGATCAGAAATGTGTATGAATCTTTTGCAGTTATTTTATCTCCGGTGATTTTATAATCGGAGGTCTTGTTGGAGTATGAAAACCCAACTCCGGCCGGTGATTCCAAAAAAAGTATGTTAGCCACTGCATATATTACAGTTGTAAATAGTAAGTTTGCGAGATTTTAAAGGTTAGTTGATTTAATATGTTTTGAATTGTATAAAAGTTAGGGGTGTGTATGGGGCGGTTTGGTTCGGTTATTGGTCAAAACCGAACCATAACCATTACAATTGGTTAATGTATTTCAATAACCATCGGATAATGGTTAATATTGGTTTTGGATAACGGTTTTAGTCGGTTAATGGTTATGGTTAACGGTTAATATCGGTTAACCATAATAGTACAAAATGACACAAAATAAATATATTTTTCTATAAAAATTAAAAAACATAAATCCGTTGTTGTAAAAAAATGAATGATTGTATATATATATATATATATATATATATATATATATATATATATATATATATATATATATATATATATATAAGTATTTTGATAGAAGATTAGATACATTATACTCTCTCATTCTTATATTTATCGTCTACTTTTGACTTTTAAAGTATTTATTATTTAATTTTAACCTTAAATATTTTTATTTGTGTTACAATTTATTGATGAAACTTATAACAATGAAAAAACATTTAAAACACAATCCATTCGTATTTCAAGTATTATGTATCAAAAACAAAAATATTTAAGATTAAAGTTGAGGAATAAATACGTTAAAATTCAAAAATGGATAATAGGGATGATGAAGTATTTAATATTATATTATATTAAAAATATTTACTAATATTATTGGTTCGGTTCGGTTAATAGATGGTTCGGTTTTGGATGAAAATTAGTAGCGGATGTAGATTCCATCGGAACAAATATTAAATTAAAAAAAATAATAAAATAATAAAACAAAAACCCGGATCAGTCTAATATGGCCATAGATATATGATATATCGATTTTTTGTTAGAACATAAACCAATATATAGTGAAGTTTGTTTTTTAAAAGATAATAACGTATACTTACCATATATACATATTCAATAATATTAAAGTTCATTTTTATTTTTCTTGGTTTTTATCATTCTACTCATCAGATTAAAACACATATCAAAAGAAAAAAAGATAATTTAAAAAAAAGTATTGGTATTCATATATCATAATCAGTAAGAAAATAAATATGAAAAAGTAAAAATATATTCAATTCAAAGGTAGGAGGACAATTTAATTTCTCTTTTTCTTTTTATCGGTCAACTAAGTTTTACACCCTATCAATTTATAATTATTTTGTTAGCACATGAGGAAATTAAGTTGTAACGGCCGCACAATAAATGTGAGTACAGGAAGGTTATTTTGTCGTTATATTATTTTCATTGGAAAAGTTTTAAATATTTCTTTAGAAAATAACATGAACTAATCAACTAACAGTAAAAGATACTACGAATCTTTTTATTTTTTATTTTTTTTATTTAATTGAAAGCGGTATCCGGCGTCCTCTTCTTGAGATTAAGTCAAATGGTAGACGTATTTAAGATTTAGTTTAGGAGTAGTTTTAACTTGTCATTAAAAAAAAACTAATTTACAATAAATGCATTTTGAAAATTCTAAAGGGATAGTTTGTATTAAAATAATAATATTATACCTTTTTTTTTATTATTAAATTATTAAATTAAATAGATGGTATCGTCATTAGACATATTATTATTATTATTATTATTATTATTATTATTATTATTATTATTATTATTATTATTATTACAACTGATTATTTTTAATAGTATATGCATCCATAAACTAATAAAATTTTGGTATATTAAAATGTGATCATATAATGAATTCAAACTTTATTGTATAGTCTATATGCATTTATCTCCACCTTAAAAAACCAAATAATCGGCAATCAACGTTAATTTATAGACTAATCATTTAAAAATAAATCTCATAAACATTTTATCAATAAATCAAGGTAACAATAAAAGAAAAAAAAGCATTAAAATCATTATACTCATTTATTTACCTTCTTTTCAAAAGTATAATATAATCTACTATAATAAATGAAGGTTTTTTTTTACCACATGTCATCTTCTCATTCATTTGGATACATGACATTTTTTAGAATTTTTAAAATTTCTATTTTCCACTTGTCATTTTATTGTATTTTTTATTTTATTAAATTAAAATTCCACATTTAATATGTAAGGTAATATATATGTAAAGTATTTATTAGATAAAGTTTATATATATATATATATATATATATATATATATATATATATATATATATATGTAATATATTCAATACATTAAAGTCTCATTAATTTTAATAATTCAAATTTTTTTCATTTTTCTTACAAATTCAAACGTTTCAAATTGTTAAAATTTTATATTTGCTTTTTTAATTAAACCCATATAATATATAAGTGTCACACCTAGTTATGAATAAAATGAATATTCATTTCACTCAAAATCTCTACAAAAAAATGACTATTTTTATATCAAAGGTTTTTTCATATAAAAAAAGATATATTTCAATAATAAAGTTGTACGTTTAAAGAAAAAAATATAATATCTTTCTCTTTCACACACACACATACACACACATTTATATATATATATATATATATATATATATATATATAATATGAAAAATAGATTTTAATAGAATATATATATATATATATATATATATATATATATATATAATATGAAAAATAGATTTTAATAGAATATTACAAATAATATATTTTTATGAGTAATATTTTATTGAAATAATTTATTAGAACGTAAGTTTTTTTTTTTTTAAAATAAAATAAATGAAGAATTTTTTAAGTAAATATTTATATATTTTTTTGAAAATAGATATGCATGGTCCGAACATGTATTTTTTGTCTTAAATGAAACTTTACGCGCGTTGACACGCACAAACACACATGCATAATGTGTGTGTGCGCGCACACACACACCCATACACACACACATATATATATATATATATATATATATATATATATATATATATATATATATATATTTGTGAGAGAGAGAAAATATATTTTTAGCCTTTAATTTTATATTTTCTTAAAAAAAATCATACACCAATCCTTTTCACAAAATAATAGACATATAATCAACTTTTTGATGAATAATGAAAACTATTTTACCTTTATTCCAAGCATATATGTTGTTGGATAAAGTTTTACCATCTTTGTTGACTCTAAATGGTCCAAGCTCCATCATTAGCCCTCCTCCCACTGAAGAACACCCAGGCCCTATAATAAATTCAATTATTAATATGTAACTAAAACACATAAAATAAAACATCTACATACATATATGCTAAATTGGTGCTTTCGTACCTCCGTTAAGCCATAACACGAGTGGTTTTCTAGAGGATGCGTGAGTGGACTCGACAAAATAGTAGAATAGAGCTCTACCATGTTTTGGATCAACTGTTACATATCCTGAATACTGATTAAATTTTGGTCCTTTTGGTTGTCCTGGCAACCTTAAAATCTTGTCAGCCTCCTTCTTACCATGTTGTGACCCTTTATAAACAATAAGGTCCTCGACTTTCAAATCCTGACTAACATAACTCTTTTTAGAATTGTGAATCTTTAAGAATTTCACATAAGGATGAAAGTGAAGCTGATTCCCTACACATTGAACGAGAATCAAGAGATATACTTGAATTACAAATATAAAAGCGATCTTCATTTTTTTTATGATGGATTGGATTGTTTAGACCCAGTTTGATTTTACTGAAATATTTTAGAAGTTGCTTACCATTTAAAACGACAAAAGTCTATTTAAAACAAGTGGTAGGTGTCATTGCCATCTAATGTCATGATATAATTAATATTCTTCTAAATGAGAAAAAGCATGACGACTGGATGTATAATGTGACATTATATTTGAAAAAACTGACCGATAGTTAAAAAGCTATTAGTTTGTAATTGGAAACTGTAGTTTTTTTATGTATAAGTTTTTGACAAAAATAATTTTTAGTTTTTGAATATGTAAAATTCGTTAAAAACTAAAAACTAAAAGATACTAAAAACTATTGAAGTAACTTTTATATTCAAAACTTTTTGTTTATATAAAAGCTAAAAGCTCCTATTACTAAACAAAAAAAAATTCATTCTTTTTAAAAGCTAAACACTAAAAATTTACAAAAACTTAAATGATTTTCATAATTGAAATAGTATAATATATTTCTTGTATTTAATGTTAGAAAAGATATATACTACCATACCATATATGATTTTCATAATTAAAATAGTATAATTGTATTTCTCGTATTTAGTATTAACAAGGTTAATTATTATACCATTACTGTTTTATAAAGGCAGTTTCATTTAAAATCATCCAAAAGTATTGAATTACTCTTTGAAACTAAAATTTAATTTTCATTTGAAATTTTATAAATTAATGATTTTATGTATAATATCTGAATGATTGAAAAATTATAATTTTTTAAACTTTATAGTACAACATAATTAGAAGATGTTATATGATAATGACTTTTGAAGGTAAATAAATTTTATAATTGTAACTTTTTTTTTTATTACATTTTACAATGACTCATAAAATGTTAAGCCTTACAACTAAATGATTGTCCATTGATTTCGTTCACAACTAAGACAATCCATATAAGTGTAAGCCTACTAACATTTTAATTATCTAATAAAATATTTACATATCAACAACTAATTTGTATTTAAAAAAATGCATATATTCATTATATATATATATATATATATATATATATATATATATATATATATATATATATATATATTTATATATATATATATATATATATATATATATATATATATATATATATATATATATATATATATATATATATATATATATATATATCCCGATCCTTTATCAAAAACCATATGATGAATGTGGATTGTAGGGAACCTAACAATTTTGTAACAGGTTTTAACCCTCTAATAACCAAAGTTAATTTCGGCCATTGATTTCATTCATGGATGACTTCTTATTTTTCTCACCAACTTTTTAATTTTTATTTGAACTGAATTATATATATAAACTTTTATTATCCATTTTGTTTCATTATTTATTACCAAGTTTCCTAACGACACCACTTCAAAAAAATAATATATAATATAATTGTCTTAAAATATAACTACATTTTATTTCAAAACTGTTGTCGTGATTTTCGGTGTGTAAATCTTTTGTTTCCTATTTCTCTTACCTGTATATTCTAGGCAAGTCTTTGTATTAGATATTTACCAAATTTTAGCAGTAAATCAAGGCAAAATAAAGCAGAGATCATTCCCATTTCATTGTTGTCTTTTATATGGTATCAGAGAGCACCAAAGTACCAAATTGATTCTCTCAAAGAACCTGTAATGATTGGTGATAAAGCTTCTGCCACTTCATTTCTTTCTCCATATGCCCTCACAAGCAATGACAATCCGTGTACTTTGATAACCCATACACAATTGAAGGGCCCTAATTTTGAAGAATGGGAAAAGGCAATTAAGGTTTCGTTGCGTGTGACGAAGAAGATGGGATTTATTAATGGTGCAATCAAGCAACCCGCTGACACTTCAAAAGAGATTGAAGACTAGTTGATCGTTAACTCCATGATAGTATCATGGATATTTAACACGATCGAACCAGCTTTGAGATCTACATTTTCTTATAGGGAAACCGCGAAAGAATTGTGGGATGAAATACATCAAAGGTTCTCGGTACGTAATGACACGAGGATTCATCAGTTGAAGGTAGAAGTATCGAGTTGCAAACAAGCAGGGGATTCTATTATGGTTTGTTATGGAAGAATCAAAAAGATCTTGGATGATCTTAGCGATTATGACCATATGCTATCTCGCACATGTAACGGGTTAATGTGAAATTAGCAAGACGCAATGAAGAGGAAAGAGTTCATTAGTTCCTAATGGGATTGGATGATGCTTATTATAATTCCATCCGATCTAGTATCATAGAAACCAACCCTCTCCCAAATCGCAAAAAGACAGACCACTCTATTGAAACATGATATCGTATTATCGGGTTTCCAGAAGGAAGAGGATCTGGACAACAAACATGACGAGGTCATGGAAGGGGGTGAGTCTTTATGCCCTCGGCAAAGGCGAATGCTGCTCATCTGGCTGAACATACGACGTCAACAAGACCACTTGGAGATGAAGATAAGATGGGACTAGTAAACTTGAGTACAGAGGATTGGGAGACATTACAGTCTCTTTGGAACTCACATAAATCATCTCCACGGTTATCTAGTAAAGAAAATCTTAATTGGCTTTTTGATAGAGGGGCGTCATACCATATGATAAGTGCAACTGAACCTTTTCGCTAAACTTCGAGATATTGATCCGTGTCCTGTTTGGATGCATAATGGTGACCATTTGATGGCTACTAAAGAGGGAATAGTCATGTTTGGACGATTGAGACTCACATGCGTATTATTTGTACCGAATTTGTATTTTAGTTTGATTTGCATATCGCAAATGACATGTAACAAATGTATTTTTTAACATTTAATGATCAGTTATGTGTTGTACAAGACCACACTTTGAAGGTGCTGACTGGAGTGGGTGAAGGAAGAGACGGGTTGTATGTTATGAAGGATGTTTTCTCAACACATGTACACAAAGTTGACAGAGGAAATGATGGTACTGGGAGTGAAACATTATGGCATAAAAGATTAGGACATCCCTATATGCGTGTGGTGGATTTGCTTTCTCAAATTAATATCCAACTAGGAAGGATAAAGTAAAGACTTATGAGGTATGTTTGCAAGAAAAACAAACTCGTACGCCATTTGTTTCAAGTGATAATAAAGCATCTGATATTTTTGAGTTATCCATTGTGATTTGTGGGGTGCATATAGAGAATCTTCCTTTTGTGGTTCTAAGTATTTTTTGATGATTTTCGATGATTACTCTAAGGCCGTTTGGACATATTTATCGAAGGAAAAACATGAGGCTTCACGTGTCCTTAAAAATTTCTTGGCCATGACTAATAGACAATTTAACAAATCAATGAAGATACTACGTAGTGATAATGGAAAAGAATTTACTTGTTTGGCAGGGCATTTACAAGAACTTAGTATTATTCATACGACCTCTATGGTAGACACTGTTTGATTAGGTGTCTAAGTCAGTAGGAGTCTTATTGATTCTGAAGAGTTTCAGGAGTCAATTGAAAATAAAACTTTAGTTATCACTAGCACACGACCTAAGGTTGATAACCTATCGTGTTAAGTTGACACATTCTTGTTTATGCGCATCTTCCAGTTGAGTTGGAAATGCTTATGAGTTCTATGGTTCTCATTTAACTGCAAAAGGCAGAGCACATTGGTTAGTAATGATACATTGGTCAATGGAAGTAAGCTGCTTGACAACAAGGAAGCCTTGGTGGGCCCCTGTACTACCAGAAGGTAAGAAATTAAGAACAAGCAAGTTCAGTCTATGAGAGGAAAAACCTAAAATTGATTTTGGTTTCGTCCTCTACCTTATCTTATGATTGTAGTTTGGAATTGATAAATTCACATGGATAGGAACATATACACCAAAAGATCTAGGTGGCAAAAGGTTTCGCTCTAATTCATGAAAATAATTATGAAGAAACACTTTTGCTAGTAGATTTTAAAGATAAATATCATCATGATTAGCAATTTTTTAATTGCATTCTTTAAATTCACAATCTGATTACATCTCTTTTCATAGTTCGAATTGTGAGAAATGACAAAGAATAGTTTGAACGTTCAGGATTTATAGCTATAAGGTTTTAAAGGGTTTAAACACATACACACATGCTATATAATGAAGGTTTATGAGCATGAGAAGGGTGACATCCCCAAAATATCGGCAAAAAAAGACCAGTTTCATTTATGCTTTTTAAACATTTTCAGAGTAAATCCTTTTGATTTTAAAAGAGACGCGGAATTTGTTCCCAAAAACAAAACAAGATAAAATAGATTTTTATCAAAACATTTCATAAAGAAATATAATTTCATTTCATAATCAAAAATCGGGATGTCATGTTCCGATATAGACCATAAAGCATAAACGATAACATTACAAGTCATCCAACAAATATATACATACACAGACTTGTAAACAAAACAACTTGATGATTCTTCCATCTTATGCCTTTGCGCCACTTCCTGTAATACAATTGAACTGAGTGGGTCAGACTTGGGAGCCTGGTGAGCATATAGGGTTTTCAACCCACAATAAATAATTATATTTAATTTCAACAATCAACAATAAACCCAATTACCCATTCTCATCATCCTCACTTTACGTCCCTAAAAATAACATCTATTATAATGAACCTAATTCAGGATTTTCATTGGGACGGACATTACTGCAGAGGAATTTTTCAACAATAAGTGTCCTAAAGGCAACCATGTGGGGGATAGAGTACACTGGTGAACACGTCGTTCACAACACCTACAGGTTATGAGCCTGCTAGCGTTCCACAGGACTGTCTAGAATAATCTGTGGTCGTCATCCATACTCTGCTGAATGACTAGAATAACACTAACAACATCGAGGCCTCTCATCTGTTTATTATACACTAACTATCTACCCATGTTCTACCCAACATATTAGTAGATAAAAATATACATTTTTATACATAGTTTAAAACCTGTATAGCATGCTCGATCAATACATTTTTCCACATAACAGATGAGACACACACAC